AAAACGATCAACGAGCTGTCCCTTGGACTGAATCTGCATCTGCAGCATTCGTGCAATGCAAACACGATCTGGCAAATGCAGCCACACTTTCTTATCACTCACCTAGTGATCAGCTCTCTATAATGGTAGATGCATCTGACACGGCCATAGGAGCAGTGCTTCAAGCCCATACCACTAAAGGACTTTCCCCAATGGCATTCTTCTTCTCCAGAAAACTTACTACTGCAGAAAGGAAATACAGCACATATGACAGAGGGAGCTACTTGCTGTGTACTGTGCTGTTAAATACTTCCGGCACAACTTGGAAGGACACGACTTCATCATTATCATCGACCATTAACCTTCGCTTTTAGAAAAAACTCTGACTCATGTTCTCCTCGTCAGCTTCGACATCTGGATTTCATCGCCCAGTTTAGTACAGATATCAGATATGTCTCTGGTACTGATAATTGTGTCGCTGATGCCTTGTCTCGGGTAAACAATATCAACCTCACTACCCCAGATTTCTCTGAAATTGCAAAAGCTCAATTGCATGATGAGGAACTCAAGAACCTAATCTCAAATCCACAAACCTCCCTTCAGTTACAACCGCTGCACATTGATCCAACGCTTAAAATTTACTGTGACATAGAGAACAATAGAATACGTCCCTATATTCCTGTCAATTTTAGACGTGAAGTGTTTAATGCCTTGCACAATTTGGCACATCCTGGAATCCGTGCCACCAAAAAGCTGATCGCAGACAGATTTGTCTGGCCAGCAATGAATCAAGACATCACAGAATGGACTCGTTCATGTATTAGATGTCAACGGTGTAAAGTATCCCGTCACACTCACAGCCCCATTCAACAATTTAACCTTCCAGCAAGACGCTTTGATCATGTGCACTTAGACTTGGTTGGCCCATTGCCTCCTTCAAATGGTTACACTTACCTCCTCACTTGTATTGATCGGTACACAAGATGGCCTGAAGCCATTCCTATTGAAAATATATCCGCTGAAACTGTAGCTCGAGCATTCATCTCCCAGTGGCTTTCAAGATTTGGCATGCCTACCACCATCACTACTGACCAAGGCCGACAATTTCAATGTCACTTGTTCGCATCCCTCACCTCTCTTCTTGGCATTCGCCATATTCGCACAACACCATACCATCCATCTGGAAATGGGATGGTGGAACGCTTTCACCGATCTCTCAAACAAGGTCTGAAGTGCCACAGTAGCACACACTGGACAGAAGCCTTACCCCTAGTCTTGCTTGGTCTTCGCACAGCATTCAAAGAAGACATTGGTAGCACTTGTGCTGAAATGTTATATGGTGCAACCCTCCGTCTGCCAGGTGAATTCTTTCACCCAGAATCTACTCCAGTTATCGACCCTCCAACATTCCTTCAACGTTTACGTGAGACCATGAGCAATATCTCGCCAACCCCAGCATCTTCGCATAACCAGCCAAGCTATTTGTACATCCTGCGCTTGAGACATTTCGTTCGTTGTCAAAGACTTAACTTCTGCGTCATCAACAAACCCCCCTCAAAAAAAACAGGAGGCGTCTACCTTCTAATTTCTCAAAAAAAAACTACCATAAATTTGTATGATCAATAATTTGGCTCCATTGCTGACTATCTGCTTTGCATACATCTCAAACAGACACATTCTACATACATACATCGTTGATTTTACACTTAACTAATATTTTATATCCCTGATGCCAACCTAGCAAATCATTATTTACTATATTTTGCTTTCATCAACACAGTAATGACTCATGTAGAGATGCCTAAACAATATTTTTTAAGTTAGTGATTGAATAATAAAGAGTATCATAACCTTTTATGTTGACATTAAGCTTGGTGATGATTACAAATTTAAGTTAAATGCTCTAAGAAATGTTGATGATAAAAAATTTAAACAAAATTTCTTTCCATGTGCTAAAAATAGATTTTGTTAATGATACTCATAGCCTGAGAGATTACATTTAGTGCTATTTGAATTAAGAATAACTGATTTGTTATTCACATAAACAAAGAAACAGCGCCAGGGCTCATATGGCTGCACCGGATTGCAAAATTTAGGAAAGACAAAGGGAGGCACTTGGTTGCAGAATTTAGGGCCCACAGAGAATGCATCAAGTGGTAAGATACCTAGTGCCGGCCCTCAATAAGCCTTCAGTATATGTGGAAATTCATCTATTCAAATAAGCCTTACACGTGTGCAAGAAATAGACATAAGTATAATAAATAACTAATACAATTCATGCTTAATTGTCTCAGTGCGCGATAGAAGCAAGATAAAATTTAGGAGAACAACTTGTTGTTACTCGCCAATCTCATGATACATGATACAATCTCATGATAGCCGCGAATTTTAAAGGTTTTCGGATATTGCAAACCAAAGGTGAAATTTTCCAATTAATGGATTTTCTAAAGAAATGTGGAGAAGTGGGAATAAATGAAGATGATATAAAAGAAGTTTTTTATTGTGATGATGCTGCTCCTCAATGACCAATCAATTAATGGATAGCGAAATCTGTAGTACAGTTCTAGATCTAGAAAATACTGCTACTGATAGTGAAGAAAGTGACACAGAAGTTACCGAAAATGAAAGAATTCCGATTGACAAGTTAGTCTGAATTCTCGACGCAGCAATTACAGGACTTCAACAATGTAACTAAACAAGAAATTATATCCGTCTACAGAATTAAAGAGAAAGTATTAGCACAAAAAACAAAGCAACTTACATTGAGAGAAATGTTTAGTAAAGTAAACAAATAAATATTAAGCCTCCTTTTTTTTTTTTTTTTTTTTGGTGTGTAAATTTTAACACCTTTGAGAGCATAAATGCTTCATTATTTCATAAATCACATCTTTAATTTTCATTTCACATTTTTAATTTCTTCATGTCATCTTACTAGATTTAAACTAATGATCTAATATCCGGAAACGCGGAACTCCCAACGAGTCTGGATCTTGGGCTTTGTACTGTATATAGCTTGTCCTCGCATAAACTTTTCATGTATTTAAAGTTTATTGATTTTCAATAACTGAAAGCAATATACCAAACAAATCATTAAAAGCACAGAAACTGCTTTTGTATGATTTTTCGACTATGTTTCAGGGCATATCGGTTTACTGGTACATATAGGGCAAACCCATGACTTCATCTCATACTCTCTTAGGTTAGAACATAAAAACTACTTTTCCATCACTTATAAAATTTCTATACGTTTTATTGCATTAATAATTGAAGACCAAAGGGGATGCACCTATGCCCATATTTTGTGAAAACTGGAATAATATCATCTAGAATGTAATAATATCATCTAGCAGGCAAGAGGAATAGCTTCTACACATTATGAATCACTTCATTAAAAAAAACTGTTCAGGTCTGTAACTATAACTAAGGGAAAATGCTGCATACTGGAGAAAAATCTTTTCTATTCACACCCCAAGAGAGAAGTAATAGTTATGTCCAACTTCCTTTATCAGGTTCATTAATGTTTGTTCTTGTCTTGTAACAACGATGAATTTTCTGCCAAGAAGAGGAAGAAAACCGGCAGAATCCACAATGTTATGAAAGTTTTATGAGCAACCACACGAGCTAGAACCTGACCGAAACTGCAAACGTTTTATTTTTCTTGCCCCCTCTTTTTATTTATGATAGTGAAAAACAATGAATTCTCAAAGCTTTTAATGAATTTGGGAATTACAATACCCAAAATCATTGTTACTAGACTTAAAAGATTTTTGCATGTGATGCACCAGAATTTTCGTTTGCGAAATGAGGGATCTTCACACAATGCATCTTATCAAGGACATTGTTTCCAAGAAGGGCAATGTGTGATGTGCAAGTTTCTATAAATGCCTCTGTTTCCTTCCACAGCATTATATTACACAAAAAATTGGGTTAAAAAATAACAGAAGCTCTGGTCGTTGATGAAAAAAGACCAGCAGATAGCAGATGAAAACATGCAATTCCTAAAGAAATTTTTTCTAAAATAATTAAATTTATCAGTTCCCCCCCCAAGAGGAGAAAGTCTCATTATTCCTTAGAAAAATAAGAAAATACACATGCCAAAACAGTTAAATATAAAAAAATTAGACAACATATACAAAACGAACAATCCAGTGACATATAATAAATTCAGAGATATTTTTAATTTTAAGTTTAGCATTAGATTTGGTTACCCAAAAATGGGTACCTGTAGTCTTTGTGATACATTCAAAGTAAAGATTCATATGCTTGCCAAAAAGTCGGAAAAATTTGCCGAAGGAGAAGAAAAAGTGAAACTCATTCAAGACCGGAAAAATAAAATGGTGAAAAAAGACTTCATCTCAGGAAAAGCCAATTATGACAGTGAAGAAGATTTGTGTTCCCAAGATTCAGAGAAGAAACAGTGAAAAAGAATTGTAGTCACTCCAAAAAATTTAAAATACATTTTTCACCAATTTTGTATAGATAAACTTTTAATGCACATTTTTTAAAATAAAAGCTGAATGTTTGTAATTAATATTAATGTATGATTTTATAACAATATTTTCTTTATTAATGAAGTTACACAAACTAAAAATTTTCTCAAAATTCCTGTCAATGGATTTGAATGGTTCCCCCCCCCAAGGTCTTCAATTATTAGTTCAGAATTTAAATGCAAAATCGCTAACAACACCAAATTGCATTTATCATATTCCAATAATTCTACATTTTGTTTCAAATCTGAATTAAAAATTAACAAATCTGACTAATACATCATTACTGTTGTTACAATAAATCACATGTCAATAAAGAGAAATTTTCAAATAATAAAAGTATAAAGACAAAGTTTGGAACCACATATGAGATATACTGGAGCAACCTCTGTTTACTCTGTAACTTTTCTGACATGTACGGCAATATTACAGTTATCATTTCTCCTGAACAGGGCCTTTACTCTAAAAATAGACATTTTTTCTCTTAGATTTAATGCAATAACAGCAATAATTCATAATTTAAAAAATACTTACGTATCTTTCATCCGCTAAAATTTCCAAGAAATCATTCAAGGCAGCTTCTGCATCAGATTTTGAGTGTTTGGCTAAGCGGATTAAATTGTGAAAAATCCTTGTATTTAAACTAGCCCCATATTTTGATTTTAGTTCCTAAGGCAAAGAAAAAATATTTACTAAGTGCAATTTGTGCATGAAACAGAAGTGTGCAGTTTTTAATTGTACTTGAAATAGACTGTAGTTTTTAATTGTAAATAGATGACTGAAGTGTGCTTCTGCTAAGAATGCACATTTTAAATATTTGTTAAAATAGTGCTAAGATGGAACTTCGTGTTACCAAAAAAAAAAATTACTTTCATATGTTTAGGGAAAAAAAAATACAAAACAAGGCCTAAATGAATTACAGCAAGAATGAATCACTCAATTAATCACCCACATAAAGCCACCAAGATGAATTTTCAAAATAGTAGCAACATCTTTAATTTTAAATGACTGGTTTCATTTTTCACTTTATCTCTGGCAATCATTAAACTGTTGCACATATAAATATGGTTGCTTGTGTTGCTTAACAATTAATCAAAATAATATCACTTACCAAAAGCAATTTTTCTGCAGTACGAATGTTACCTTCCTCAGAATTAGCAGATTTTTCTTTCAGTCCCCTAGTAATTAGAAAAAATAGAAGTTAAATGTAAGAAATACATGCTGCAAGCAAATATACATATGATAATCATTTTAAAATTCATGAACAATATTCTTTTTCTTGCAAATTAATTTTCTTTCAGTCAATTTCTTTTTACAGACCTCTAATAGGCTTCTCAGTAATCATGACTTAACATCTCAGAAAACATATTAACCCTTCTAATGTGCCCCTTTTCTTCAGTTTTTGCACCACAAATTTCCCTAGGACACTGTTCTGCAAAATGCATAGCCCATCTCTAACAAAATAAGGACACAATTTGCACATTTTTCTATGCAATTTCCCCCTCTACTCACAATAATATGCTGCACATTCTTATTTAATATGGAGTTTCCTGATGATAATTTTCTGGTGACAACATAGATAATTATTTTCTTAATCAGTCAAAATTGTTTTGTGCAGTCATAGATCTAGTACAATCTTAACCTCCCAGACACCTGCAGGCACTTTAAAACACTTGTTATTTCAAAACGAAATATACTAAGCAATTCATGAGCACACATGCTGCTACCCCAAGCTTTCAGCTACTGATAATTAACATTCACTTTTATTTATCTTTTCATCATTATATCATTCTTGCAGTGCTGCCAATTTCAGCATTATTTTTGAAAAGATCTACATATATTCACAAGTCTTCAATGTTTAAGTTCTGTTTCTACACAAAATCATCTGAACAATATTTCTGATAAGATGCAAGATTACAGAAGACTGTAATGAGGCTACAGATGATTTGTGTATTAGTTTTACAGTTAAACATTTAAAATTACATATTTCAAGTATGATAACAATTTCATGATACATTTCAATGGTAACAAAGTCAGCCAAATTACAGAACTATTTCCTTCTGTAAATTTACAAAAGCTATTTTAAGAACAAAGCTGAAATGCTTTCATCATTTTCTTTCTTAACTGAACCATTTTCTCTGAAAGTCGTGCAAGTCTATATTATATTATATGGAGATGATTAAGGGTTTGTATTTCAATGGTTTGTTTTTAAATATTAAATTGTTTTAAATTTTTAATGTGATTGTTTTAAAAGTATTAGTTAAAAGAAATTTATACTTTTGATGACCTCAAATGGATTTACCCCACTTTCAAATTCAACAAAATGTAAAGATTACACATTTATGAAACATTAAATATGACATTTTAATTGAATCAAACCAATATTTTTATGAATATTTTATTAAATATGGCAAAAAATTAATAAAAAGGCGTTACCTCAATATTTCTTCAGGTAATGCCATTTAAATTACTTTAATTACAAATTTACATTAATATGTGCCATTTTTAATTTTTATCATTATGAGAAAGGTTTTGAAAATAGTCATGATATATTGGAGGAATATCCATCATATCAATTAACTTTTCTGATGATATGAAGGTAGTAGAATTATATTTTCAAATTTTCATGGTCTTCTTCATGTGAAGCATAAATCTAGTGTTTTAAACCTGTACTTTCATCAAATGAAGTTTTATTCAACACTATATATGGTTATTTTCAAAAACTGTTATCCAACATATTTTCAGCCAATTTACCTCTTCACTATTAGTATTTTTTTGTCTTCTTAGAATTGCACTTTCTGGTGGTTTTGTCAAAAGAAAATCATTTTGTTTCATTTCATGTAAAATAAAACTTTTTATATTTTCGGCATTGTTGGTATAATAATCTGTAGGAATATACTGTAACTTTTTTTTTTTTCTTATGGACGTCTCGATAGTTCCAAAATCGGCATCATTTGGTAGATAAGAATGTTCAGAATATAGAAATTTACAATCGATAATTTCTATGGTATTTTGGGAGGACTACACTACTTTAAGCCACATTAAAAGAAAATTTTAAATTCCTATTTTGTCCAATGCACATATCGCTATAGGCTGCTACACATTGTTGGTGGCTTATTTATTATTACTTGAAAAGTATTCAGAAAAAAGTTTTTGCAGACAAAAATTTTCATAGCTGGAACAGTTAAATGATATTTAGATGCAAATTTTCTTTGTGTTCCCTTATAATTCCTTTGGCATTTTCTTTCTAAGTTACACCATTGAATAGCTCTGAAGAGAAATATATTCTGTTAATTAAAATCTGTCAGGTTCCAAAATGTGTCAAAATTTACTTTGCAATCAGCTCTACTAACAACACTTCAGCAATTGTTTTAGCATTTGCATTTTATATTTTGAAATTTTCTTGCCTGGAACAATTTTATCTGTATCTGAGTAATACTTTTGTCCACTACTGCAGTTCATTTTTCTGACCTGTTGCGCATTTATATTATTGTTCTATTTTGTAGAATCTGACTCATTGTCATATGAAATAGCATTCTCATCTGAACACAAAATTGGTTGTATAATTCTTTCTTTTAAAATTTTTATTTAAATATGTATTGTTTTAATCAGATTCATTATTTGTTTCCAATTCATAGGGATGATTTCTACAAAATAATAAAAATAAAATAATTAAATTAATTAAAATTTAGAAGGAAATGTATCAAAAAAAAGAGTTTATTTTATAAATACCTACCTGAATCACTGTCTGATTCTAAGGCGACACCCTCCACTTCAAATATTAATGCTTGTTATAAAATTAACTATTAGTAATTTTAGATGTAATTGTACTTATTTATTTCAAGTTAAGTGAACAAAACAGAACACATTATTAAGTTTTATACTCTACAATAAATGGACGCAGTACAAAAATTCCAGCAAATGAACAAAAATTTTTATGTCATCAACAGTGCTGACAGACATATAAAAGTGAAGTAGGGAAGTTATGTGGGATAATTTTTTAACTACATATTATGTCTTTGAGTAAAGTGGTCTTGATTATTTTCAAAGTAATTATATTTGTAATTTCATTAACTGCATAAATTTACATTGACAAAACAATTGAAATTAATTTTTTTTTCCTTTTGTTTGTTTTCAGAGAACTGGTTATAGATAAAAAGCCCATAGCATATTGCATTCACTGTTATCATAAACTAACTTTTTGTCAAAAATGGACTTGCACCACTTTCAAAGAAAATGGCTCAATTAGATCACAAAAATTAAAATTAATGTACATGGATTTAAATTAAAGAAAACACACAATTTTAAAATTTGACATCAGTTTTGAAAAGAAATATCCATAGCATATAAAAACAAACATAATTACAAAATTTAAGTCGCACATTCTATATTGTTACTTACTTTGAACATTAAAATATACAGGGTTAGTCATACTTCAGTGAAAGATATTAAAAAATCATATTGAATGAACTAAGCATGTAGATCATGCTAATTCTTCAGTACAGGAAACTGCTCCTTCAAATCTCCCACCCCAAAGTTATGGAATGCTTGAGTGCGTATCTTCTGTATTTTGCCAAAAGGAAACAGCAATATGACATGCAGTAAAGGAATCAGAAACACTCTTTTTTTACCCACATATACATCTTTACTTTTATTTATGTCTAAATGAGTTTTATTTACTTAAAACCTACTATTAATGTTATATATTTTTAATAACCACTTTCATAATTACTTAAGGGAAAAAAATGATGAAATCTTAAATAATCGTAAGTATATAAGTTATTTAAAAAATATAGTTTAAAGTACTGAAAATAATTAAGACTATTATTAATTACACATATTTAGTCTAAAGAGGAAAAATTGTATTATCTTCTGGTTTTCAGGAAATGATAAAATATTTAAACTTTAGATAAATACAAAATTTTAATAAAGAAAAAAATATATTAATTATTAATTAATATATTTTACTTAGCTTATATAGCTTATTTTTCTGCATAAATCAATATGTAACACAAGGACATAATAACGATATTTTCACAATTGTTGCAAAAAAGGTGGAATTTTGTGAACATTTAGGCATCTTTAAGATGTCATGATACGATGCTTTCACAACCAAAATATCACCTGCGAAAGACACAATAATGACATCTAGGCGACAAAAACCTCATCTGCAAAGACATAATAAAGATGTCTTTGCAACGATTGCAAAACAGTGGATGTTTGCGGACATCTGGGCATCTTAAAGACGACATATTGCAACAGTTTTGCAACGACATCCGCGACGAGTTTGCAACGTCGTTACAACGTTGCTGTGCTACTTGGGTATCCATTAGAAAGAATAATATATAGCACGGCAGTCTGATGCTTGGCTGCGTGCGCTGCCATACCATGTCATGTTGTATGTAAAAACTGCCAGCATGATGGCGAACCCGCCCACTTCGTCTTTAGCTTGAGCATAGGATGTATGAATTATTGTGTAGAAGTTTTCTGTTATGTTATGATAGTTGTGTTAAAAATATGAAGTGTGTGAATAAAGTTATGTTTAGCGATGCGGAGTCATGTCTTTGAAGATATACACCGAACAATAATCCTCACCCACCATAAATTGGCAACCTGGCTACTCACATGAAGCTGCATACTAGTTGTTCATTCAGGAGCTTGGTTCCAGGACTTTCATGTTTTTCCCTTCAGCCACTGCCATGGAGGAGATAGCTGCCATTAAGATACCAATTTACAATCCTATTGACCCGGCATTGTGGTTTGTTATGTAAGAATCAACTTTAGCCACACCCTAGTCTGTTATGGATCCAAATGCGAAATTCAGCTTCTGGATCGCTCATTTGCTGTCGGAGATTGCTTTGTTGGTTTGAGATATCATACTTTAAAAACACACAGATTTTTCTTACGAAGACCTCAAAGCTGCCATTAATGAACGATGTGGGGAAAGCGGTACCAATGAAATCCAGAAATTACTCACCAGTGAGCAACTTGGAGACAAAAAGCCCTCAGAATTGCTTTGTGTCATGACAAAGCATGCTGAAAAACACAATGTGTCAAACTCATTGTTACTGGAGTTATTCATGCAACAAATGCCATCAAATGTCCAATCTATCCAAGCGTTGTTTGAGCTTCTTGACTCATCAAAAGCTGCCAGCATTGCTGATAGAGTATTGGAAGTTACACCCGCTCAGGTAAGCATAGTTTCTTCACCTGTATCTGTCAATGTGTCTAATAATTTGAAATTGGATTCCCTCTCGATGAGGTCTGCAAATTGTGTAGTGAGGTTTTGTCTCTACGACGACCATGCAGTTTTTCCAAAAATCGCTATAACAGGAAGTGAAGCCCTTCAGCTAAAGCTGCTTTGAATTGTTCCTATTGCTGGCATCATTGAAAATTTAATGAGAAAGCTAAAAAGTGTGTTCTACCATGTACGTTCCAGGGAAATGAACCAGGGAAAGTGTAATGGTGAGTTGCGCTTTACCCTCTGAGTCTCATTGCGTTTTTATGAGATAGAAAATCAAATAAAATATTTCTGTGCAACACGGGCTCAGATGTCAGTCTTCTTTCACCAACCAAGCATGAAGCACGTCAAACAGCTATTATGGCATATTCTGCAGCCCAACGGTACTCCTATTCCAGTTTACTGACAAAAATCTCTAAGTATTGACCTTGTACTTCATTGCAGTTTTTATTTTACTTTTTATGTGTGTTAAATATCAACAAATATCATTGAATCTGATTTTTGATTTATTTTGATTTAATACCTGATTTAGATAACAAAAAGCTTGTTGATTTAAAAATGCATTTAAAAATTAATTGCAGTGTAATTTACACACATTTGTGTTCTGTTAAAACAATTATTACAAATTGTGTTTATGATAAATTATTGTCTAACTATCCTTCACTGTCGAAGCTTCCTGATCTTAATGAGACTGTTAAGCATAAATACTATGCATTTCATTGAAACTATTCGTTCTCCTGTTTCATGTAAGCCCAGGAGACTAGCTCCAGATAGATTAAAAATTGCTAAGCATGAAATTAAAAAGATGATCAATTTAGGTCACATGTGACCCTCCAAAAGTAATTACTCCTCTCCTCTTCACATGGTGTCAAAGAAATGTACAAATGAATGGAGACTTGTGGGAGATTTTTGAAGGTTAAATGCTCAGACAGTGAAGGATAAGTATCCAATAGCAATTTATATCAACTGCACTATCCTGGAATAAATTATCCATGAATACAGGGGGTAATATTGTATATATAAGCAGTAAGCAAGAATTCTGTGCTTTTAGACCTCATCAGAAACACCAGCTATTTTGCAATTCGTATTGCATTCTTTTCTTTAATCAATAATGTTATGCACTGATAGTTAGTCTTCAGAGATTTTGATGAAAATAGGAATTAAGTTCCTATATTTCCCCTTTTTTTTTTTTTTTTTTTTAAAAACATCTTTAACAGAGTCTGAGATAATAATTTCACTAGTTTGAAACCTTGGAAACAATAAAATTAGAAAATGGTCAATTTATTGTTCCTGATTAAGACACTTGTGACTCAACACTGGCACTGACAGCATTATGATTGATCACCCAAATTAACTTCTTCCGGCAGAATGAATGTATGCACATCATATATACGCCACACAAAAGCAACATGTCATTTACTCTGAGTAGCAAAACTCACACAGCAACTGTTGCCAGTTTCTACAGCAGCAATTGCAAATACTACATAGTTTATCATACACACTCATGCTAAAAAAATATACAACAAATACTAAAAGAAAAGGTACAAATGTAAAAAGAGGAATAAAAACATATAATTTACATATGAAGTAACAGGTTGCACTGCCGACTGCACATAGGTAACCAAAATTAATGCAATCCCACAGTGTTCCGATTGCATGGTTAAGTTGGGCTGGTGAAGATCACAGACAGACAACAGAGCCAGTGGGGCCATGTACTCTTTACAGATGAGTCTCTGTTTAACAACCAGAAAGATTCTCGAAGGCCAATGATATGGTGAGAGCCAGAGATATGTTATTGGGCTCCAAACATCGTCGAGAGACCATTACAGACAAGGAGGCTCACTTGTATGAGCTGGGATAGCAATTAGCAGCTACACTGACCTCTACGTGATTTCTGGGACTTCAGACACTGTTGTATATCATGACGAAATTCTACACCTTCTCATGTGTCCTTAATTGCTGCAATGGGTAACAACATGATATTGAGTGGTGCAGAGTTATAAGGAGAGAGATAACATTCCATATCTGCTATGGCCTGATAGATCACAAACCTGAATCCCATAGAGCATGTTTGCGATACGTTGGGACAACCAATAGCAGGTCCCAGTGTGCCACCAGGCACCCTCCATGAGCTCTAACATTCATCACTACAGGAACGGTACTACTACTACAATAAGAGATCAACGACATTATTGCCAGCTTGCCTCACCATTGTCAAGCTTGTATTTCAGCTAGAGATTATCACACCTATCAGCACTGCACATTCTTCCAACACATTTGGTATTTCTCGATGTGATGGTCATAATAGATAAGGTTTTTGTAAGTCTTTGCTACGTGGTCTAGTATTGCCACAACTCTTGGGAGAATTTCACACATATCTATTAAATAGTTTTTGTTTTATTCCATGTTTTGCCTTTGCTGCTTATTTGTTGGGAATCTGATAGTGATTATCTACGTTGCATATACACCTTAGTTCAAATAACGTTGACTACTTTACGTTTACATCAAATACATGGAACTCTATAAATGAAATATAAAAAGATAATACAAAAATTAAAGTACAAAGAATTAAAAAAATACATGTTAGAAATTACATACATGACATCTGTTACATCAACATTTTCACCAGAAAAATGTTCATTATCAAAAGGATTAATGCAAATTTCAATCATGTGACACAAAGATATCTGGCCCCACAAAGGTACAGTACGTGCTTTATTGAAGCATTTTAAAGCATCAGAGGTATTCCCAGTATACCTAAAATAAACAAAACAAAATATTTAAAAATAGATGCAAGTGCTGGAGAAAATAATAATGTTATATTACTAATATTTTAGCTTTTTAGCATAAATTGTCAATTTTCTTAAGACAGGTACAGAGTTCCATTAAAGTTTTTTAAGGGGGGGGGAGAAAAGAACGAGAAAGAGAACAAAAAAGAAACCTTATTACATTTTCTTTCAGAAAAATTGTAAAACTACCTAACTGCATATTTAGGTTGGAAAAAATGAAGTAATTGTAAAACTACCTAACTGCATGTTTAAATTTAAAAAAATGAAATAATTGTAAAACTACCTAACTGCACATTTAGGTGAAATAAAAATGAAGTTATAACTCTCCTATTAAACTATTCTTAGAAGTTTATTTATCCAATCATGCTTCATGCAAAGTTATCTATTCTTTTTTTTGGATGTCAGCATACACAGCCTCTAACACAGCAGAATATGGTGCTTTGTTAGGTGGAAGAAAATTCTGATTTTTCTTAAGAGAAACTTAACGCAGGAATTTACGGCTAAGAAGAAAAAAAGAGATGAGGGATACAATTGCCTACAACTTAAATGCACAAGGAGAATGTACGAAAGCAACAGAAAAATAGATAAGAGTAAATGAATTAAGCTTACTTAAAATATTTTTAGAAATAAACAATTTTAAATATTTAAATTTATAATTTGATTAATTTGCACTGCAATCTAATTGCAAACAAAGTCTTTCCCCCCCCCCTCACATTAAAACTTTATTTTTGATGAAATTAGAAAGAAAGTATTTCTTTTATTTTATTTTTTCTTCTATGAAAATTATTTCTTTAAGGAAAAGAAATCAAATTCATTTGTTCATTACAGTACGAGTGATTCCTCCTGCATTCAACTATCGCATATGCATCCAAATATTTTATTTTAAATAATTTATCCTATAATTAACATGATAGAAAATAATTTTTCAATATAAAATATGTAACCAAAATTAAAATCATCTAGTCTGTATGCATGATTAATTCGTATTGAAGTTTTTGTCATACATATATTAGTAACACTTTTTTTAACATTACTTTACTGTTATTTTAATTTCTTATATATATAAAAACTGCTTGTTTTAAATAGTCTTCCTTCTCAGGAGATTTTTTTCTGTGAAAGTAATTAATAGGTAGTAATACTATTTTCACAATGGAAGTACTAAAGTAACAATAATCAATATAGGCCTCCTACAGCTGAAGAAGTTCCTTGTCAAACCAGCATTTTAACACTATGACACATTAAATAGAAAACTGTAATAATAATTAATATCTCTTTTACAATATAAAATTGAGAACTCTGCTATAAACAGTTTTTTTTTTTTTTTTTTTTTTTTAAAGTTTGCAAAAAAAAAAAACAGTTATTTTTAATACTAATAAGTATTAAAAAAGTACTATTTCATAAATAACCCTCAGTCTTATACTAGCACTGTTACTCTATAACATAATACAATAATAATGCAGTACAATTCAGCTAATACATTTTAGTACCTAACAATAAGTTACATAGTTATAAATTATGTATAAAAACATTTAGTAGCCAGATTTGATTTAAAAAAATTAAATAATACAAGTAAAACATTTAAAATTTACTGATACTTCTATCATTATTGTTAGATTATTTTTATTATACGTGAAATAATCACAATGAATTTTTAAGTCATGCCTTTCTCAGTGTTAAAATTATTAATAATTTCATTTTTTCCCTTTGTAAAAATAAAGAATTTAATTTCAAAACAGAGTGACCATTTATTTTCATATGGTAATTCAATATGCATCATTCCTCAGAACAATTATGAAGGGCTGGCCCATCAGCAGCCAAGTGGTAAAGGCCGCTAAACATTGGTAGTTCAGTCTGAGATTTGAACCCCGGCGAATGGGCTGGCTCATTTTCCTCATGTGTAACATGGATATGAGCCATGTTTCCCTTAAAAAAACCTCCATGGGGCATCCCTCCTTTCTCATGTTGTGCCTAAGGCTGGAGCATGTAATAAGTAAAAAAGAATATGAAGGGTTTTAATTTAAATTTGTGATGGTTTTTTTATTTTGAATAAAATATATTTATTATTAACAACTAGTTTTAAATCGTAATAAAATTACACAAATAAAAATACTTTATAAAAGTTTCACACTACTACTAGTAGTAGTAGTAGTAGTACTAAAAAATATTACAAAACTACTTTATAGTTTTATAACATTTTTATTTTACAGTACTGTGAATTTTGCATTATAATGAACGACATTCCTTATTGTGTTCACAATGTTGTTTATAAGGTATTCCACTGTTATATTTTAAAATATACTTAATTCTTGTTGTACATAAATCGAATACACTTTTCTTGGATGTCTATATTATTATTAACTGATGAAAGATTATATGCTAGATAAATACTTATTATCTTCTACATTTTTAAACTACATAATTACAATATACATATAATTTCAGGAAAATAAATAACCTTTCTTTCAGCAGAAATTGCATTCTTGTTTTCTGAATGTGGCTCCAAATACTCTCTTAGTTCATCGCAAATTAAAATATCTATAAATTTTGGCAGTCTAAATTGGCTATGAGAACATCTTCTGGAAGAGCAAAGGTGATGTCATGTTTTATATAAATTTGCCACCGATCTGCGACCATATTCTTCATTTAAATATGAAAAAATTAACAGTGAAAACACATACAAAAACATCATCTGCTTGGAACGTCAACTGCACAAGCCTGATTGAAGATGTGGCAACCTTTTTTTCTGTGCTTTCCACAAATTCTATACTCACAGAATATGAGATATTGGGCAGACCTGTTTTTCACTAGCAGTGACACTGGCCCACAAACTGCAGCTGACTCTTGGAGCATAGAATAGGAGTCCAGGATTAACTGTGCCCCTGAAAAGTTGAGCATAGGGTTCTAAGATCTCTCTATACTTCATAGCATTTAGGAAGCCTCTTTCAAGCACATACAGGGGTATGTGGTCATCCAGCATAATGCCTACACACACCATTACACCCACACCATTGTAATAATTCTTTTCCCTGACGAGGAAGGAATGGTATCCTGTTCCAGGCTTTCTCTAGATACAGGTATGCTGAGAAGCAGTGTCCAGGCTGAATCTCAAATCATCTGTAAAAAGCATGGTGCTCCACTGAAGTCTGGTGCAATGTGCATGTTGTCTGGACCATGCTTTAAATGCACTCTCTTTTGTGCTGCATTGAGCAGAAGATGCAAGCAGCGGATCTTCTGGCATACATCCTATCTCACAAAGCCTTCAGACAATTGTAGACCATGAAACTTGGGCTCGTACAGCACATGTGAGAGCTGTGAAGCTGTAGCAGTCCTGTGTCACTTTACCAAAATTGCCAAATAATGATCCTCATTCCTTGTTGTGGATCTTCGCCAATGTTGTCCAGGTCTTCTTGATGTGAATCTGGTGTTCTGAAAACATTTCCCATAAACTGCAAATGACAGTAAGCTCTGTAGCCACCTGTGCTGGTGATTGGCCTACCTCCAAGCTACTGACAATTCTCCATTTCATGGCATCATCCATACGTTCGGGGCTACTCATTTTACCCTACACCTTATAAAATTTACCCAACTCCTGCGATAAACATGGGGAATGTTATGAACGAATACAAGCAAATAAAACATTGAAAATCTCTCCACAATCACAGCTCCACAGACCTGCATGTGTAGACTTGTGTATTTTACTTTGAATATTTGCATAATTCTTTGGCAGCATAATTAGTACTTCTGGTTCAATACTTCTCATAAAAAAGACATAATTTGCAAATTCTCTTATTTTGCACACAATTATTAAATCATTCTGTCATAGTACTGATTAAAGCTACCACAGAAATTCAAGATAATTTTATTTTGATTAATTATTGTTAGAATTTGAAAGTATAACATATCACACAGATTTCAAAGAGACTGTTGCATATGATGGACATTTATATTTTGTGCTCCCTGTCAAAATAGGTTACAACATTATGTATTTTCTGAAACAAAAACAGAATTCAAATTTTTAAAAATACATGTATTATCTTATAAGAATATGTGAAGATTAATGAAATATGGTCACAGGTAATGACATTTTAAGAAGCATATACCCATAATACATAAGTGTACATACACTATCTAAGTATAAGCGAATCAAATATCACACAATCATTATGTTTTGAAATATGTGCAAACTAGTACATACATCATATTAAACACCATCTTTCTAGTAAGTACGATAAGAATTATTTTGCTTTAGTAATAATATCAAAGGAAAACTACAAAACATTTCACGATATATTAAAATATATCTGCAGAGGAATGTTATACTAAATAATACATAAAATGCATTGGTAACAAGCTTTTTGCATGGATATTGATTTATCAGTTCTCAGAAATTGCTCTGCTTTCTTCTGACAGTCTGATAGAAACTATACATTTTCTCAGAAATCTTAGAAAAGGCTTGATTGCAACCATAATTACTTTTATTATTCTTCATAGTAGCAAAATGAAATGAGGTTGATAAGAAATATTTTCACTTTCAGTATTTAATGTCTTCATTTTGCTTCATATGGAAATTCGTATAACAAATAACTAATTTAAATAGGGAACATTAAAGTAATCCTAGGATAATTTAAGACAAATTTTTCTGAACAGCGCATTACAAAATAAACGCATGCACCACTCCAGTCTGTCAATGAACATCACAGATCTGGTCTAAGGTGGTTTTCCCTTGTGTCTGTTGCATATAAATCTGCAGAAATTATTTCCCTTTCACCTGTAAAAATTTGTCTAGATACAAAGGAAATATTGACAGTGAAAAACCTGCATCAACTACAAAAGGTAGTTTTTTATTACAAAGGTACCCAAATAACTTTTGTTGCCAAGCTTCAGAGACTTTTTTTTAACTAAAGGGACATTTTGCGATAACAACATACATTTGAAATTTTTTTATCAAAACACAACTGCAGAGCATTCTATGTTTGTCAATGTGAACATTATATCCAGAAATTATGTTCTGCTGTTTCAAGAATTTTATTGTATTCTGAGGTGGGCTATTAAGTCTCTAGAGTTTATATTTCTGAAGATTTGTAGCAATTCTAGGTACAGGTTTCTGTGTCACTTTGCCATCTTAAATTAGAGGCCTGGAAATTCCTTGCAAAGCTGACAATTTTGAAACAAGAAAAACCAAAAGGTTTTCATGCAGCACAACTTCAAAGGATATTCAAGGTGAAAATTTTTATTTAAAATTAAATTAATAATTTGAGCTAAGCTATTTATATTATCTTAATGTAAAATATATGGAATTAAAACTAAGTTATATGGTGTTAATTTTATTTAATTTTTTTAATACTAATGAGAACTTAAGAAAGGAAGAAAAAATTTTATACATCAAAATGCTTTTAAACATGATAAAATTGATAATTAATATGCATTTAATCGTGTGGATAAAATTCATAATGGACCAATTATAAATGTAAAGCAAAACTGAAGGCAAATATTCATCAACTAAACATAAGTCTGCATAAAATGCTCTGCAAATCTTTTAATATATTAAATTCCTCTATATGAAATGAAAATCAATCAGAAAAATTACTTCATAAATTGCTTAAAAAGTAATGAACTTTTTAAAGTTTGAGTTACATAAAGAGATGACAGCATGGTTTCTTTACACCTTTAAAAATTCGTTGCCAAGTTTTTGTCACAGCATTTCCCTTTTATATGACACTTAGTTGATATAAACATTTCTTCTCAGTTTACATTCCAGATAGATTAGCTAAATGCAGGCAAATTAAAAACTGGAAGGTTTAAAGATGTACCAGGAAAATTTGGTGAAAAATCAATAGTTTCTCAGTTTTACCAGAAGGGTTGGAACTCACACTAAGCTCATTTATTGCACCAAAGCTTTCTGGCTATAGACATAAGCAAAGTTTCCATTTGCATGGGACGATCATCAGCTAGTATCTCCAAAGCCAATTTTTGCTAAAACATGAATTTCTACCTAATTCAACTCTTTTAAGATAATTAATCAATTTTAATTAATCCTAAAAGCAAAGTTGGAAAAGTCACTAAAATTTGTATGACTTGGTTAAGTTTCCATTATGGAATAAATGCGACTCCATTTCTTACTAACATTAAACATTAGTATTTAACATTCGTTAACATAAAATGTAAGTGCAGAGCTATTACAGTAATTACTTAAAATGCTGAAACTTCCATCCCTTATATCTGTTAAGCTTCTTGACCCTAATCTCTGTGAGCTTATCTTTTTATAGTACTCTAACCAGAATGAGACTTTCATATATGCTTAAGGACTGAAAGAAATAACATGGCATTCCAAGATTACTATTCACCAAGTGTCAGTAATTAAACCACCAATTAAACTCACATTTCAAAATACTGGTAAAATATCTAACAGTTTTGTTCTGATTTTGACACTGATTTCTCAGTTGACTCCATTATTTAAAATAGTCATTTTCCTAAAACCAAGTTAGAGTAACATGTAACAGCTCTGTATTTTCCTGCTATTATTAACTTTAATTACATCGCCTTTTATATCGCCTTTTTAGTTTTTTAAAATACATTACATAATAAAATTAAATGAAGATAATGAAGCAGTATATAAAAATTCTAAATATTCATAACAATGCAACCACACATACACGTAATGAATTAATAATATTGAATTCTATTAGTCCCCCCCCGCATGTGCATGCAATGCAGCCTGAATAAATTGTGGCACAAATTTAGTTTTTTGTTCTTCACAGATATAACACATATCACAAATAAAATGCATAAGAAATAAGACCTTTTCATTCTTAAAAACAGAAGCATGAAGAAGTGTTTTCTTTTTTTTAAATTTGGATTAAAAAAAGGAAGGTGTACAAAATACTTTTTGAGCCATTTTCATAAAATGCATTTATATCACTCACATAAACAAAATCATAATTATACATTTTATCAATTAAAAGAACTGTCTCATATACCAAGCCATACTAATTTTCACTCTCAAACTGTAGCTTTAAATTCAGCTAGTTCTTGGCATATCTTAGTGCAGAAGACACAGCAAAAAGTCAAATCAAATGCTGTAAACTATTCCCAATTTTTTTTTTTTTTTTATATTTGTTAGTAAATCATGCCACAGTATGACACAATTATTAAGGTATTCATAGTATACTGATCTTTAAAAAAGTTTTAAGCAGCCTGTTTAAAATAAATAATCACATTTTGATTTATAAATCTAAACAGAGCAAAAGTAAAAATTCAGCAAGTGTACATGCAGAAAACATGCATAATTCAACAGTTTTGTTGAAAATGGCCAAGGAAGTTATTTTAATTATACATAACAACTAATGTAGTTGCCTCTGTGATTATTCCTGACCACTGTCAGAAATGTTTATCACAAGCACAGACAATGAAAAGGCCTCAGAATCACTCTAATATTAATACTAAACACACACCACATATATGTTTTACAAATTACTTTTATTATTTTACAAATTACTTTTATTATTTTAGATAATATGGAATTTCTTAGATGCAATGCTTTAGCAAAATTATTTCAGCTAACTTTATGTGGGAAATATTTTAAATGAATATCACAAACTTAAATATTGAGAATGGAGATCTGAATATCAAAATTATTTTCATTCAGTTTCCTACTGACTAATTTATTAAAATCCTTAATAATAATTCAAGTCCTTTTTTATTACCTAATTATATTTTTAAAAATTACACGCACCATTCATAAAGTCCTTTGCAATAATAATAGCCATGATCAATTGACACATTTGATGTTGCTGCTTCTGCTTTTTTTAAGCACATTTCTGCATTATCGAGTTTTCCAAGCCTCCGCACCACCTCAATGTATCTAGCTATAGCTTCAAAAAAGTCTACAAAGAATTTAAAAGATACATAAAATAACTCTTCTGCAGTCAAGATGTATTATTTTCAGTAACAATATATGATGAGATAACACGAAAGGCAGGCATTTAAATATCAATAAAATACCTGAATTAAATCATACAATAAACATTAAGCACAAATATATTGAAAATTTTAACATTCAAGGATACACACACACACACACACACACAAAAAAAAAAAAAAAAAAAGAGAGAGAGAGAGAGAGAGAAAAGGAAAAATAAAAAGAAAAGAAGAAAAGAAAAGGAAAAAAAAAAAAAACGGAAAAAAAAAAAAAAAAAAGATCAAATGTAAACAGTAAATTTCTTTTATTCTAGATTTACTATGACATACACAGTTTGGTCGACTTTGCTTCAGTCTTAACCTCTCATATATCATGAATGCAGCAGGTGAGGCTTTATAACTCTATCCAACATTTTAGATAATTTCCATGTTGAAATAAGATTAATGTCACATGATCAAACTAGGTTTTAAAATTTGAATAAAGGAAAAGGTATGCAAAATGCGTCAAGGAAAGACAAATTAATCATGGAACTAAGTTAGGTGAACAATATACAGGATAGAATTATCAAAATATGAATGAATGCTGAATCACAGCTGGTGTAAGCTTTGCCATGAATAAATTTCAAAATTCTCACGTGCATGCATCAATAGAGATAAAACCTAGAAGTAATACCCATCAAGGTGTTAATCAGTGCCCTTGAAAATTGTAAAACACTTCCAATAGAAGATTTAGCAGACTAATAGAACAGCTGTTAAGAAGCAACGAACCAAATAAAACTGAATCTACAATAACATTTAGGACACTTAGAGCAAAACCAGTGTAAGAGGTTATTGCTTATATTAAGACATTATGAATGGATCACTAATTTACTTGTATTTTGCATACCATCTGTTATGGACCGATGCAAAGACAACTCGTGTTTTTTACACACTGCCCTTAGATGCCACATACTGAATTTACTTTGTGTTTATATTAGTGATAATGACTTTACTCTATTGATAGATGAAAAGATGTATAAGGTGGCAGTTTTTCAAGTAATTCTAAAGTTGACAATGGTGATTATGTTCTAGTGAATTACTTGTTTTTCATAATGATGACAATTATTGATATCAGACTGATACTCCAACCATGCCTACAAATGTTTGAAGATCATCGTCGGGTCACTGCACTTCCATATCGATGTGACTTTGTAGCCTGATGTTTGTAGATGACTTGTTTGAATTGTTTTGCAAAGAATTATGTACAATGGTCAAACCTCAGTGACTTGCATAACAACGCCTAAAACATTTAAGGTCTCCTGTTACACAAAAAGGCATGAAGAAATTCTTTGGCCTGATTCGTCTAATAGTACAAAAAAGGAAAAATAAATAGAAAGATTAGTGGTTAACAGATCCTCTAGTCAAGTTCATTCACAAAAAAATTATCTTGTCACTAAGCAAGATAATGTTTTGCGAATGCGATTGGATTTTCTTGTAGGTTTTCACGTTAACACATTTAATTTATCTTGCTTAGTTAATGACTTTAACTCCAATATAGTCCTTTCCAACAGTTTCAAAATTCTATTAACTTAGTTTATTTACTATTTCTGTGGACAGATAGATGGTGCTACCTTCTCTTTTGTTTTACTTCTTTGCTTTCAGTATTAATATAACCATTGGCTCTTTTCTTCTTTGCAGAATTCTTTGCTCCTGATGAAGAGAGACCTGTACCTGTTTGCCTTCGAAATCAGTGGAACTTTAATTAAAATCTATGCCAAACATAAGGTTGATACTTTGCCTAAAAGATCTCCAATAGCTATTCCAGTATTTTCATACATACACAATTAATTTGCAAAGTAAGGTGTGCAAAAGTTAAGACAAATTCAGTTTTTAATGCACATTTTTCGCATATTGAAGCTGAGACGTCTGAATGTCATTTCTATTCCTCTTTTCTACCTTTCCCCACATCATGGAATGTGCCAACAGGAAGTCATTTGATTTTTTTTTACTGGGCATTTGTGCTAACATGGCAGCTTTTTTGTTAAAGTTACGACATGCGCATGTTCGTGGGTGAAAATTTGAAAAATATTTTTTTTCTCAAATATTTTGCAATTTTGTGTTATTAACTGCCATGTATTATTTTAATTTGAATACATTTGGCTCTGTAAATTTTATATCAGTTTTCATGGCAAAAAAATACATGCAACCAGCTGATTTTGCTCGCATTCTTCAAGAATTATTTGATGAAGAAAAGAATGACAAGGAAACCTTTGGAATGAAGAAAAGAATGACAAGGAATACAGTGTGTGATTTATCTCTGCTTAGCAAGATGTTGCACAGATAATGCTGCATGGGGCCTAGCATTGTCATGCAAAGGAAATCATTGCCCAGAATATAAAAGTTCATTCTTAATGCGCCTTACCTGTTTCTTAATCGCTAAAACACATCCTCGTAAAAATGCTGATTGATTGATAAATATTAAGGGACAAATACATGGTGAATAAATCCTTTGTAAACAAAAAATGCAATTAGCAAAAAGTCGGGGGGGGGGGGGGGGGGGGGGGGGGGGGGGGGGGGGGGGGGGGGGATTATAGTCTTTAATTTTGACCTTTTTTTTTTTTTTTTTTTTTTTTTTTTTTTTTGTACAGAAGAAGAAAGTTTTTTCCACTGTGGACTTAAAATTTTTGTTTCTGGGTTATATTGTAGATACCAGGTCTCATCTGCCACTATATACACTTTTACGAAATTATTGTCCAATCTCGCAGTTGTCAGCAAATCTTCAGAAAAACCTTTCCTGTCTTCTCACTGTTCTGTCCGAATTGGAGGCAAAATTTGAGTACAAACTTTCCTCATTTTCAGATTTTCAATTAAAATTAAATGGCAGCTTTGTTTTCTTATTCCAAGCATGTCTGGAAGTTGCCGAGTTATTACACCTGCATTAGCTTATCAAAGAATTTTTCTCGTTTTCCTCATTCTTTGAAGTTGATGGATGGCCTATCTTTGGCTCATTTTCAGTGCTTTCGTGACCACACTTAAAGCAGTTGTACCAAACACTCGCGTTCTTGAAAATGATGCATGACCATATACTGTACGAATCATCTTTAACATTTCGGTAGCAGATTTACCTAAATTGTAATAAACTTTAATGTTATAATGCTGTTCCTCCTCAAAGCAAATTTTTTGTTCATGGCCTTCTGAGTAAATGAAAAAGGCTGCCCAGATGCAGTGGCGTAGCAAGCATAACTGACGTCCGGGGGAAAATACCTTTTTGACGCCCCCCCCCAAAAAAACTTTTAGTATATAATGTATTTGTAATAAGAAAATAATGCAAATAATAATAAAATGCTGAATTTGCCATAAAATACTCAAAAATATATTAAGAATAGTCACTACCTAACTACACTAGCCTTGGATTCGGAAATGCATCTATCTGTGTCAGCAAAAAAATCAGAACTACAAACCCTCTTGAAAAGCAAATCTTTCACCAATCTCAACTTGCAGCCTATGCAGCTGTCACCTGGAAAATCACTTTATTGTGATGCTCAGGATTCAAGATTTCAACCTTATGTTCCCTCCGGATTTCGCCATGCCATTTTTAGTCAGTTACATCATCTGTCACATCCTGGCATCAAGGCTTCGAGGAAACTGATACAGCAATGTTTCGTATGGCCAAGCACACAAAAGGGCATAGCCAACTGGACACGATCCTGCTTGGAGTGCCAAAGATCTAAAATTGTCAGACACACCACCAGCCAACTTAAAAATTTTAATTTGCCCTCATCTCACTTCAATCACGTACACCTCGACTTGGTCGGGCACTTATTTTTATTAATAATAATATAATACATGAGTACACTTAATTGCTATGTATACAGTTTTCTTACCTTGGATGAAGCAAATTTATTATTTACTTCATGAAAGTCGACCCTTTTAAATTTTTCTCTTTCCACACTTAAAAATGCTAGATGACTTAGGGAATCTTTTCCCATCGTTGGTTGTAAATATGTGAAAATTTATTTTAATTTGCTGAGTGAGTGTTCATAGTTAGCATTTGATAATGAAATAGTAAGTAGTATTTGAAGTGCGACTCTTAGGTTTGGAAAAACATTTTCTCTATAGATCTGTAGTGGAGTTTTAGGTTCCATTTCTTTTCTACTGGGGAGTAACGTCATGCAGTCACATTCACTGCTCAAAACAATTAGAGGATATTGTGGGTACGGTATGAAATAACCATATAATCGACAACCTTTTTGAACAAAAGGAAATATAAGAGATTATAAAGGAAAATTATAACATTTACAAAGTTGGAATATGCAAATTTAGTCTGTGATGTCGAAAACTATGCCTTTTAGATAAGGAGTAAGGAGCGACCTGCAGTATTCCTTTTGTAATAGGAGATTAAAAACAATTGACATGCGTTGAATGCTTCATAGCAGTGAATATGCGATGTCTCAGCAAGATGACTTAGTTGAATCGGTAGCCAGGAAGGCCATCAGGCGTTTACAGAAGAGTCAAACGCAATCAATTGTAGTGGAAGCATTACGATTTTCCCAAAATGTCATTTCCAGATTATGGAATCGGATTTTGAAAACTGGATATGTTTGAGAAATTCGAGACAAGGTCGTGTTATCATTTTAAAATAAAAAGTGGGAGATATACGTGAATTTCATTTAAAAAAATAAAAATATATCTCTACTTTGGAGAAATAAAGTGGTCAGAAAGAATGTTTTGGCTGATGTACTGCAAACATTTTATTACACATTTTATCAGACAAATCAAGAAAAATAAATAATTAATTATATTACAATAGTTATTAATTTTAAATATATTATCCAGAAATCGATCAAAATAAAAACTGAAATTTTCCGGAAAATCTTGTTTGTAGACCACTTGGCGCCCCTCTACGAGCGGCACCCGGGGCATCATGCACCCCCTTGCCCTGCTCGCTACGCCACTGCCCAGATGATATAGTGGTTAGGGGAGCCTTGCGACACCAAAGGGCCTGGGTTCAAATCCCGGAGAAGGCATGGGTGTAAAACTATCTGTCCCTTCATAAGACGTGGCAGTCCATTAGGTACCTCCACAATAAAATGGCCACCACTTTTGGCCTTAGGAGCACCCAATGGCTTTATAGGCAAGTGTCTGGCATTGGCAGGAAAAAAGGTAACTGAAAAAGACTGCTGCGTTTTGATATGTAAACAATAAAATAACCAGTTTAAACTGACTTTAACAAGAATTGAGATATCACTCTTTCTAAGCATACATTTATTTTTACACTTTTTTATTTAGCATTTGGTCTTCTAATTTGTCCAGTTACATTGTGGGAACACCTTGTATACTAACTATTCCTGAATAAATGAAAATGAGAATGACAATAAGGAGAATGAATCATCTTTAGCTGCTATCATTCACAAATTGTTAACATTTGAAGAATATTTTTTCCTTCATCTGGTCTGTTTACTTGGAAATATATCTGACTTTTAACACTAACAGTATATTTCACAAAACTCTACCAGTGCATGTATTATTCCTGGCATGTAACCATACTTACTACAAAAGTAGGGCATTATAAATATTACAGCAATGAAATAAATATGAAGATTTAATAACATGTACAATTTATTTTGCTGATACCAGACAGCAATGTTTTAATTGAGATCCAGTATGAATGTGAAAACTTTCCAACAATAAGCATATAAATTCAAATAAAATAAATAAATGAATATGTACACTTAAAACTAACTTTTCATAATCATGAATAATTTTATAAAGGCTTTAAAATTACTATAGGGACAAACTTAAAGTTTAAAATACACTTTCAAGAGTAATTAAATAAGTTAAACTGAAACTTTAATGTAAGTTTTTGAGAAAACAAACTCTATACCTGGTTTTATATCAAGAAGCTTTTGAAATTGAAATTTTGCAGACTGTAGATCACCAGCTTCAAACATCATATCAGCCAATAACTACAAAAATTTGAGTACAAATTATTCAGCATGAAATAGCAATTCAATAATTTTCAAAATCCATATTCAAATCACAGAAATGTATTCCATACTCAATACATCAGAGCTATAGCTCACATAAATATATGTGCACACATGATAGTTATATCATGCAATATATGACATGAATAACATATGATAGTGCAGCACATGAAGTAAATAAAGTAAAATTTTAACTTTAATTTCAATAATTTTAAATTTTAATGATTCGGTTGAATACAAAAATTTTCATCTGAAGCATAAAATTTTAAGTCTGAAATAATATGGAATAGCTTATTGTACATACTTGGAATCATTATTATTACAAAAAAAAAAAAAAAAAAAAAAAAAAAAAAAACCCTCATAACCCATGGCTGCAGCTAAAATTAGTATATTTTTTCATATGCTATGAAATATACAAAAGTATTGTTAACAACCATTATTGTGAGGCACAAAGGAGTTACAGCATCAGCTCACCCGAAAGATGTTCCATTTGCTCTTTTCAAGATTAAAGAAAACTGCATGGAATTACAGATGAGCATAGGAAAATGAATAATCATTCTTGCTAACAACAAGGGTGAATGCAATCCTATTTAAAAAATCCTGAAGAATACTGTGCAGTAAAAATTCAACATAATTTTAAATAATTGTGAATACTGCAGTGAAACACATATATTCACTAGTAAAGCAAAGAGTATAACTTTGTTTGATTAATTACAAATTAACTAATGTTTCACTACATCAAGTCACACAGTTCTATCTATTTGGTTTCTCAATTTTTTTTTTTTTTTTAAATAATTGCTAAGCTGCACTTGCCTTTTTTTTTGGGGGGGGGTACTTTCTGGGAACTACTGTGTTTATATTTTTCTTTGCTAATAACTGAAAATTCAGTAAGATCAACAAAATATTTGGATGCAGACTGCTGCTTTTAAGTGCACTCTTTAAATATTAAATTAGAACTTGCAGTATGCATAATAACAGGTTTTGGAAATGAGGAACAGCAAGAAAGAAGAAAATGTGTTCAAGGACTGTAAAGAAATTTGATAAGCTGTCCAGTTATGCAATAAATCATTCTTAAAACGCTTACCAATAGTCATCACAGGAAATTTTTAATCCAAAAGCTTCATTCGTAACTTTGTAAAATAACAATTAGTTTCTATGTGCACAGAATTTAATCTTCAGACATTCAAACAATGGTTCCACAGAAACAAGTTTAAATAGATTTAATCAGTCTTATCAATACTGGAATGTATAATAGTCAGAATATTTCAGCCCAAAACTTTACAATATCAGTTTTTTTCTGTTTCTGATAAAGACAAACAATGAAAATATTTTTTTAAGACAAATTTAGTTTACTCAGGCAAAAAGTTCAACCACTTAATGAGTTTTATATAGTCTAAAAGCTTTACATTTATATAATCACTGAGAAATATATTTGCTCTAAAACAAATTTTAAAAAGGGAGTTTTTTTTATTTATTTAATTTTTTAATTATTTTACAGATTTACCAAGTACAGAATCTACAAAAATTCCAAATCCGGAAATTTCGGATTTGGGAGATTCAAAAATCCAGAATTCTGGCTATATCTTAACCACAATCACCCTTGCATCTTCAAGCAGTAATCAAGCTGCTTATCTTCAAGCAGTAACAGCATTAAAGTTTCACACAATCACTTCATTTTCCTTTTGCTCACCAACTATAACAAGTAGAAAGGGAAGAATGATAAACTAGAGTGTTTAAAGATTTAAAGTTAAAATAATTCCTTTTCCCCCTTCCTTTAAGGCATTTTGATGTAAGGTGATAATAGACTAAAGGAGAGGTTTAAACATACAGAGGTTTTAAACAGAGGGTTACACATTTTTAGAAAGATTTCAACAAAGAATTTTAAAAAAGCAAATATTTTGAAATAAAAATTTCTGGCAACAGCTAATTATTTGAAATGAAAAATATCATCTGCTACTTTTAAATTTATTCTACTTTCAAAATGTCAAATGCAAATAAACTGTGGATCGAAATATATGTTTTTGTGCTTTCCAAAGATAGAAATAAATATTCCTATTAAATACTGCAAAAAGTTGTGAAATGGTATTAAAATTTCGAAGTGTAAAATAAGCAACATTATTAATCAAAAGGGAAAAACCATCAGTCATTACTTCTACATGGAAATAAATACCAGAAAAATGTATGTACTGCCTCTAATGTTTCTAAAGTTAAATCATTGGTAACTACAGAAAATTCACCAATGTAGAAATCAACTGCAGTCTTTAAATACTTCTGCACAAACAATAAAAAAATAATAAACTAAGTTTTACAACTTAAAAAAAACTAAAAACATAATGTTCACTAGCCTTTGTTGAGGCATGTGGTTCAATGCAGAACAATTTGTAGAACCCTGCATGAAAACTATTTAGCAGGAAATAATGGAAATACATTGTGACCCTTGATGAAGCATGGGTTTACCTAAATGACTCCAACAAAAGAGGTGCATTTATTTCTGAAAACGAAAGGAAAAAATGTAAAAACTTGGTTTGTCAATGCAAAGAAAGTTTCAGTAAGGGGTTTATGATTGTCACAGGCTTCTTTTACAACGAGAAATTTAAAAAAAGAACTGTGGTAAAAAATGTTAAATCAACTCCTACTTTCAAAAGAAAGTTTTAAGTCTGATAGTTAAAGAAGAAATTCCATTTCTTTATTCCAATGATTTTAAAAGAATGAAACTTCATCAAGGAAAAGCAACATGTCATACTTAAAAAAGGTACCATTGTATTCCTTGAAAAAATGAAGACTGATATAGGTATTGCATACACACACACCATTTCAATGCATTCCTGCGAAGTTCCCTGACGTTTCACCAATGGACTATCGTGCATCTGTTCTCTTGGAAAGAGCTCTTTCTACGCTCAAACCCTTAACAATTGATGGATTTTTGGAAAGTAGGGAAAGAGGAACGGAAATCAATACCCCTTCTGTCATGGGAACCATGATGAAGATTTAGAATCTAGGAGAAAGGCTATCAGATTGAACATTTTAAAAAATAACTCTTTACATTTGAAACCTTAAATAAATGGCCCTGAAACTGTTCTAAAAATGTATAAACACTCTCTGTATTTAATGTTTCACTTGCAGTTTTTAAAAATCACTTGCATTACATCTGACCATTAAATAAATCATTTTTCCAATTATCTTAGTGATTTGTATTATGCAATGTCATTATGTGAATCCAGGTTAGACAGAAAACATACTGGATTCTTGATCTTTGCATTATGATGTGATTAATGCACACAAGATAGAATCATGTTTAAAAAGAGAAAAAATTAAATTGCAAAAATTTCACTTACCACAGCAGCAAGGAATATTTTCACTGTCCTTACTTAAAACAGTTGCACAGTACTGTCGAGCAGCATCGATATCATGGGACTCAATATGAAGCTTTGCCAATGCCAAAAGTATCTAAAATTTTTTTTAATGTATTATCATAATGAAACACATACAAAATATTTTGTTGAATGAGATAACACAGGTACAGGCAGAAAAATATGAATGCATAACTACAAAGATATTTATATACTCGGTTAAAAAAAACTACTGATGTGCAAATGAATACAACCATATAAAATGCTCTGCCATGAGAGAAGCATACATTTTTTAGTTTTGCCAATGATACCAAAATGGCAAAAATCTACGTATCATTCTATTTTGCATCTCAAATTTAGACTTTAGACTAATGACAGTGGAAGGAGTTCTTAATTTCCTTTTGTAGGTTCTAAATAGGTTTATCATCTACTTCTTAATTTAATGTATTATGTTTAAAATAAATATTAATTCAAAATGTTTATTAATGAAATAAGCAAAAATTTTTAATTTTGTTTTCTTTTCATAATATTTAAATAGATATATAGAATCAAATTAGATTCAACATTTCAAACCTAACAATTTTTATTTCATCTTCACCTCCAAACTACACACGTGCACCGCGCGCGTTCGACGACTGACTCTCTCCTTGAGAATCTTGATAGAATTTTGTGGTCTGTAATTATATGCTGCCATCTCTCAGCTGTTCTGGGGTTAAATTGGTGGTATATTTTTTTAGACTTTTTCAAATAGATAAACCACAACAAGAGTATCCCCCCAGTGAACAAGCGAAGTGAAAGAACGACAGTATTTACACATACACATAGCATAAACAAAAGGGAATTGGGATGCTGGGTTGTGTCAGTTGCTGAAATCACTTACATACATGAAATTAAATAAAAGTAGAAAACAAAATAAAGTAATACAGGTTAAATCTAATTGACATGAATAAATGAAAAATAAGGTTTTTCAGTTCTGAAATTTGTAGAGAATAATAATTGTGATATGATGAACATTGAAAATCGAGTAACTCAAGAGTAATTATGATCAAGTTAACCAATTTCTGTGATGAGTCTCTTGCTAAATTTCACAATTCATCCAGATTTTGTGGTTTTGGAATTGTTGACAGAGTTTCCAGTAGTATTTCCTGGGACTTTAGGTTCATGCTCGTGAGGAATTTGTTGTATTTCATCATTATATATGAATGCAGGTTTCACTCTGTCTAGGGAAACATTGCTTTGCCTGACATTTATGGATATTTTTATAACTTTGTCGCTTCGACTTATGACTTTGTGGGGACCTGTATATGGTTGAGTGAGCGGTGGTGTTATTTTGTCCACACGAAGGAAAACATGTGTACACTTTTGCAATTCTGGGTGCACAAAGATTCTTGTTTGGTGATTTTGGTTGGGAAATGGCTTTAACTGCTGCATTTGTGCCTGGAGTTTCTGCACATACTCATAAGATGGAGTTGTATTTTGGGCACTTTGGGAAAATAAATCTGCTGGAAGTCTTAGTGAAGTTCCATACACAAGATCAGCACTTGATGCTTGTATGTCTGTTTTAACAGCAGCTCGAATGCCAAGGAGAACTGTTGGTAATGATTCAGTCCATCTTGGGTTTTCATGGGCTTTTAAAGAATTTTTCAAGACTCTGTGAAAACGTTCTACTAAGCCATTTGCTTGGGGATGAAAGGCTGTAGTACGAATTCTTCTTGTTCCCATAATTTGTGTGAGCTCACTGAACAGAGGTGACTCAAACTGGCGACCCTGATCTGTGGTGATGGTAGATGGGCATCCAAAGCGGGATATCCATCCTTCGAACAAGGCTCTGCATGCTGTTGCTGCTGTCATATCAGCGATGGGTATCACTTCAGGCCATCTGGTGAACCTGTCGATGATGGTGAGGCAGTACATTTTGCCCTCTGAAGGAGGCAAGGGTCCGATTAAATCCACATGCAGATGAGAAAATCGTGCGTCTGGTGTAGCAAATGTACCCAGAGGTGTTTTTGTGTGTTTGTGAACTTTGGATCGCTGGCATGCATCACAACTTTTTACCCAGTCTTTAATATTCTTTTTCATATTGGGCCAAACATAGCGAGCAGAAATTAAATTTGCAAGATCCTGTTGTTCCTGGATGCGAGAGGTTCTGAAAATGGTCAAACACTATTTTACGAAAAGATGCTGGCACAATAGGTCTTGGAATTCCGGTTGATACATCACAGATGAGTTCTGTTGCTGACACTGGGCTGGGCATGGACTTTATTTCTAGTGAATGATTGCTGTTTTGCAGATTTTGTAAATCATCAGCTTTTCTGAGCGTGACTAAAGGCTTCAAAATCAAGAAATGAGGAATTTGAGATGTTGTTTATCTCAATTCTGGATAATGCATCTGCAACGCTATTATTTAACACCACTGGTATGACGAATGTCAGTGCTAAACTGAGAAATGAAATCAAGTCGACGCCATTGGCGCGACTGCACTTCTCTGAATTTTGCTTAAAGGCGTAGATAAGAGGCTTTTGATCAGTGAAAATGATAAAGTTCCGACCTTCGAGCATGTGCCGGAATCTCTTCACCGCAGTGTAAATGGAAAATAGTTTCTCGATCATAGGTGGAAGAATTCTTTTTGTTTTGACTGTTGGTGAAGTCTCGAACGTCTAGTAGAAGTGTCTATATTTGGTTCCTTCTATTTGGTTTGTTTGTTTGCTAAGTTTGCTATTCTAAGGAACCAATCTCTAACATGTCTAAGAGTCATCGAACAGCTTTTAAATTTAATGCCGAAGGGGGTGATTATAGCACTTTTGTGGATATCATCAGGATGTATAGGGATTTGATGATAGGCTTTAATTAAATCAAGGTACGAGAAAATTTTGCAGCCATGTAGTTCAGAAGTAAAATCTAAAAAGATATTAGGAATGTTATAATTATCTTTTATTGTTTGTGCATTGAGGGCTCTGTGTAATCTCCTACAGGACGCCATTCCGTGCTGTCCTTTTTAGGGACCATATGCAAAGGTGATGCGTAGTTACTTTTTGAAGGACGAATGTGGCCTAATTCTATCATATTTTGGAATTCTTCTTTGGCGATTCGTAGGCGGTCTGGGGCAAGACGTCGTGCTTTAGCAGTGACGGGAGGTCCTGTGGTTTGGATGTGATGCACTACTGTGTGCTTAATTTCTTGGTCAGCACGGGGTGGTTTTGTGATTTCTGGAAATTTTAATAATAATTTATGGTATATACTGTCGCCAGATACTGTCTTTATTGAATGTATTGCACTAACTCGTAAACTGCATTTAGAGCCAAGATTAGTGTTACCGTCGATTAATCTTTTTGTGTGGAGGTTAGGCATCAAGTTGAAATTATACAAAAAATCTGCACCAATAATAGGGGTTGAAACACTGCCGACAAGAAAGGTCCATCTGAATATGCGTCTTAAACCTAAGTCTAAGGAGAGATTTTGGCTAGTGTAGACGGAAATTGGTGTAGTGTTTGCTGCTGAAAGGGTCATTTGGATGCGATTTCGCCTTTGCAATGCTGTTGCTGGAATTATAGATACGTCAGAACCCGTGTCGATGAGGAAGTTGACATTTGTGCGCGCATCTCTAACAAAAAGGCGACGAGAATTGGAGGGCAAGGCTGTAGTCGCCGCTATGCCTCGCCTGGGCCGCCTTTTTTTTTTAATTTACAGGGCGGGGTACACTTTATAGCTCTCTCACCAAATTTAAGGTGGTACCAACAGGTATCAAACTTGTTTTTATTTTGAGAGGGGCTGCGTTCTCTTTAGCCGCGATATTTATTCTGACTACGAGTGCGGCGACGATCACGCGAGATATTATCGATTCTTACGTGCAATTTTTTTATCTCTGCGAGTAAACGTTCTTCAATGGAATCTGAAATATTAGCAGAACAAATATTTGTGGCACTTACCGCTACAGGAGATGGTGATACATCGATGACACGATCCGCAACTTCCGCAGCTTTATCCAAGGTTAAAGGCGTGTTCGCTGCGAGTATCGACCTGTACGAAACTCGGGATATGCTGTAAAAACAGTTAGCATTAGTTCATCGGAAATGCTGTATGACTCAGCGCGTCGTCGCATTATGCGTAAGAGTTCACTTGGCCGGCGATCTCCCAACTGTTCGCCGCCAAGGAGTTTTTTGATGTTTTGATTCTCCACTTTGCTTGATTAGCTCAGTTTTAATGTGATTGTAAGTATGCGTGGAGTTGGCGGCCTTGATCACATCTCTCACAATTGATACGACTTCGGCGGGCAGGTGCAAAACAATACAATTATACTTCGTGCGAGACTCTGATATCAGTTTTGGTGTTCCCAGTTCAAATGTTGATTCGCACATGGTAAACCATAGTGAAGGATCGGCGAAGTTGTACACAGGTATCTTTACTGCTCCGATTATTGCTGTTCCTTCAGTCATTTTCAGTCACGTGGCTAAAAAAAAGTAATATGTAAAAAAAAGAGTTTTTTTTTTTTTTTTTTTCCGTGCAAATATTAGTTTAAAACAATAACGCTTGGTTGCTGCAAGGCCGGGTCACCATTGTTAAGAATCTATGATAATTATTTAGGAAGATCAAAAATTAGATTCAACATTTCAAACTTAACAATTTTTATTTCATCTTCACCTCCAAACTACACACGTGCCATCGCGCGCGTTCGACGACTGACTCTCTCCTTGAGAATCTTGGGATAGAATTTTGTGGTCTGTAATCATGTGCTGCCATCTCCTCTGGGGGTATGTGGATTTTTTTACTCCAAGAAAACAAACAACTTTTCCTCTTGGGAGGGCCGATTTGGGGTAATTTTGAAACCTGAAGGTCACGCTGTTTGGAACAGAAAGCAGATTTTGGGAAGAGAGATTTCAATTAGTTTTAAAGTTCCTCCCCCCCCTGATGAAGTGACATTGAGATTGATTGAATTCCTTCTTCTGTTTTTGTTCATTTTTCTTTAAATTTCATGATTTTTGAAGAAGGGTTTGTCTTGTTTGAAATGTTTTGGTTTTAACATTTTTAAATTCATTGTTGCATTTATATGTTTATTTGAAATTTATTAATTATGAATTTAAATTTCTGGTCTTTGTGGAA